TTTACATTATGTTATTATTTTGTTACTAGATTATTCACAATGTTGTAACTGGAGGTATATCATTATGTTGTTATTTTGTTACTGGATTATCCACAATGGTGTTACTGGAGGTATATCATTATGTTATTACGTTGTTACTAGATTATCCACAACGTTGTTACTGGAGTTTTACATTATGTTATTATTTTGTTACTAGATTATCCACAATGTTGTAACTGGAGGTATATCATTATGTTATTACTTTTTTCCTAGATTATCCACAACGTTGTTACCGGAGTTTTACATTATGTTATTACTTTGTTACTAGATTATCCACAACGTTATTACTGGAGTTTTACATTATGTTATTATTTTGTTACTAGATTATCCACAATGTTGTAACTGGAGGTATATCATTATGTTATTACTTTGTTACTGGATGGTTTCAGTATGTTGTAACTAGAGCAATCCAGTAACGTTTTACTAGAATTGTCTGATATCTTGTTACTGGATTAACCCGTATTTTGTTACTGGAATAATCTTATACGTTGTTACCTATTTTATCTAGTGTGTTGTTAATGGAACTATCTATTACGTTGTTACTGTTTTATCTTATATGCTGGATTTATTCAGTATGTTGTTATTACAAAATTGCAGATGTAATTATGATATTTTGTTACTGAATTGTCTAATATGTTGTTACTAGAATTATCCGGTATATTTTTATTGGAATTGTTTGATATATTTCCTTTCCAGATTGTTGTTACATTTGTACTTGATTTATACAGTATGTTGTTACTACAAAATTGCTGATGTAATTATGATATTTTGTAATTGAAATTGTCTAATAAGTTGTTACTAGAATTATCAAGTATATATTCTAACTGGAATTATTTAGTATATAACATCTCCAGAATGTTGCTACTAATGTTATTTATGTTCTGATTTGTAAAACAATTCTTTCCTGAAATATATCCTATCTTGCTTGACCAATATTTTGAATTCACAAATCGTTCAACATTTTCTTTTTATTTCTTTTTAATTTCAAATGTTTATAAGCATTCAGATATTTGTCGTTAGATCGCAGTTGGGATATCTTAATCGATTCATGTATGTCATATTTTCAAAATATAAATATTTGACACTTCACACTGATAGGTGAAAAGTTAAACTCCGCATAAGTGCAGACATATTATTTATTATTGTAGACGTTTTAGATGTTATCAATGATTTCAACTTTCCATTTACGAGTCCATCGTTTAAAAAGCTGGTTATAATGATTAATTATTAAGAATTTTTCAATATGGGTTTTGTTTTGGGTGTGGACTGTTATCAATGTTAATGAAATAATGCCTGTATGTCTTTATAAATCAATGTTTTTAACAATTAGGCGATAGAATCTGTATACCGTATGACAAAGGGTGTATGTTTAATCGGGAAGCATTATCGTTAACGCTTTCAGAATATTTTGGCTTTATTTATAACATATGTCTCAGGGCTTTACCCAGATACTTCAAACAATTTTCCACAGACACTGCATCAAGGATGCTGAGCGTGCGGTATCAGGAAATACATACGCCAAAAACACCAAAGCTTAAAATGATTTATTGTAATTTGAATATCTACGTGCAGATACTTTGGGTGCAAGAGTAAAACTATTACATAAGAGTATATAAAACAACACTTTAAAATCTATTTTTGTATTTATGAGTCATCGAAGTGAAAAGGACCAGCCGTTTACTATCATGGAACCACACTTCATACATAGATAACGTTTCGCGAATCTTGGATTAAAATATATAAGATATTCAATGTATATTTGGTATCTAAGAGCTACATGCATTCTCTCATTTATAATTCTTAATACAAATATCGAAACGTTCACCAAAAGTGAGTGATATTTCAATTCAGCACGCAAAATCTGTTATTGAAATTAATTACACTATAGACTGATCTTAAAAGATAACGGATACAATTAGGAGTTTGAAATATTTGACACTAAAATCAAAAATTAAAGTTAATGAATTGCATCAACAATTGAATTAAATACCACAAAAAACAGATGCAGATAACAGACATAAGTTCTTAACAAATAAGAAATATCTCCATCCAAATAGAAACACTCTGCATGAGCATGCTCTGACTAGTACAAATACGCCACTGAGGTCTCTGATCCATCACATGCATTTCCGTATAGAAAGGTCACACGCCAATTATCCCCAACACAACGCACCTGCCACAGACTGCCGATGTTGACATTGAGCACACGTGTTTATATCTAAGGTAAATGATTTGATTAGGATTATAGTATTCTAGCCAATGTTCTTACGCTTTGTGTTAAGGAAGCTCGCATCTTCAAACCCTGTGCATAACAATTTAACTCAATGTGTAAGTCATGCTGTTTTCATAAGCACTGAAGAGTAATATTTTAATTCATTTATTTTTTTATCTTTAATTTAAAAAAAATAAAAAATGAAAAGGATTTCAGGCTGGCATTTGTTTATTCACAAATAATATCTCTAATTTTTATTTGAACTAAATGTTTCTCCTTATTAAGTTTTATATACTGTTCACATAACTCTATTAGTGACCTCATATTTCTACTTCTCGGCAACGATAAGAAAATATAGTATTTTTATGTTTAGTAATTTTGATAATTTAGTGCCTTCGAATTATGTTTTTTCAGGATTGGTGCGAAAGTGTTAAAATATTATAACCGCTAATACAAGCACGTTTGCAATAGCACTACCTTATAAGTTAGATTCGCCTTGTTATAATTAATGAATGCTTTCTTCTGCATTTTTCAAAAGTTTCATCAATTCATCATCTGCATTCTTATAATTCCTTGCTGTTATTTTTAGATTTCTGAGTGTGTTGCGATTTTAGGAAAGAAGATACATTCCACAGTAAGGTAACCAGTACATATCCTTACGTTATAAGGCACTACCAACTAAAACAACAAGATTAAATAATAAATTATAATGGTAACATATTATAAATCATGAATAATAATAATATATATATACATATATATAATTAATAAAAACTAAATTTATATGAGTATATTATATCAATTTCACATCTATGTAAACGATTCGTTAGTATAACAAATATTTCAACAAATATGTATTTTGTGTTGAGATGAAGCGTTAAGCTGTCAATACTTCTGTATGATAAAAAGCTGCTACAACAACAAGATGTCCATAACACAAACTGACAGGTATGGAGTATTTAACACATAACACAGATGCCATCTTAACTAAAATGATGGGCATCGCCAAGTGCACACTGCAGCATCAGCAGGTACAATAACACACACTCATCACCACATGCCAGGCTGAACAAGTATGTGTATATATGAAATTTTAAGACAGTTATATAGTACAACCTCGATATAATGCCCCTCGATGCATCTGCTACCGCACTTATTGCCAATAAATCTTAAAGCCCCCATTTTTCTTATTTTGATGTACCGTTTTTCTTTGTCTTCTTCGATATATCGACAAAACGTTTTCAAATGTGAAAACGTTAAAATTAGCTCGACAAAAGATGGCAGTATAACGAGGTTTGAAAGTATTAATTAGCTCGTGGGAAAGCTAAATCTCCGTGGAATAAGCTGAAAAGTAATCCCTTCTCTAATGAACATGTTGACAGTGGAAACATTCTACAACTTTGAATATTTTTTGAATTGTTTCTACAGTCAATTCTTGTCCGGTTTGTGATCGTTTCAGCTAATAAAGATTAATATGGTCATAGAGGATTTTTTCAAGCATAAGTAAAATATCCGTGATAAAATTCCAGTTTGCATAAAAGTTTTGTTATAAACAGGTTTCCACCGTAAACAGGTTTCGTTGTTGGGAAGAAAAAAACAGTCACAATAAAGCAAAATTTCTGAAAAATAAATGCTGTTAATTTGCATGAAGTATTTTCATGGATATCCTCAAAAAAATGTAATTGCAAAAGGTGACCTATTAGATTGCAAGTTTGAAACTATCTTACAATCTAGTCCTTTTCATGATGATAGTACATATTTTTCTTAATATCATATAAAATAGTCATATAACCATATATAACAAAGTCATACTACACTGTGATATTGCTCCTCGTATTGCAACCAGTACATTGTCTGCCGAATGACGTTTGTAATTGGCAATAAAACGAAGTGGTACCAAGTCGATATATCATAATTTGGCTGGCGACATGCAACAAAATGTTACAAGTAGACGCTAATTGACGTATTTACATAGCGCAGTGTCTCTGGTTTAGTCTGATTATAACCAAATGTTCATTAACCGTCATACCACAATGTACTGTAGTGATCATCAGTAGACACTAGCCTTCACCCCCAAGTGACTTCCGCATTCCAAAGCAACTTGCCAAAACACAGCGTTGCATATATCGTCAGAGACTTACATCAGAAATTACAGAAAAATGCATAAATGTATGATTTTATTTCCCTTAGATTCTATTCTTTTTCTTCACGATACATGTCTGTGGCATAACAAACACACTACGTTAACTTTTATTGATGGGGTTATTTGTATTTTGATATTCCTAAAATAGTTTAAATAATTGAAAAATGTCTAATGTCAATTGATTTATTAGAAAATAGTTAAACGTACATGTCAGTATGTAAAACATGAAATGATGGGATAAAAAGAAACGAAAATAATCAACTTTGGCATAGGGAGCCATTTTTCCGCATACAAAAACCATAACCATCAAATAAATGAAACGAATTCCACTTAACTGCCGGTCGTGAATAATCTCAACGGCCACATTAATTCGTAAGACAGTGATTGTACATGTATAATACGATTTTGGAACGAGAAATATATATAAAACTTCTGAAAGCCGTATTGCTTATTTCAAACGTAAATAACGATATATCATAGAAATCTGTTAAAATGTAACATAAAAAAAACCTGAAGCTCAAACAAAATGACTTAAAGCAAAGCAAAAGCAACAATTTAAAGAGAAAACCTGGAAATAAAGGCAAGAAAACCGGCTATAGTACGTACCACTGCGATGAGGAAATCCTTCTCTCTCTTGCTGCGCTAACCTCAGAGCCTTGTATTCACAGAACGAGTGGACGAGACACATACAAATCCCGAAAGTTCTCGCTTTCCTGATCGACCTTAGCACCGCTTACCTTTTATAGACAACCGCAGTAGGCCCAACAGTAGTGGCGAGATAGCGAGAACTGTACCGAAACCTGAGACTTCACCAGTTAGGCTTTCGAAACTTTACAAACTGTTTCTCGCTCCTCCCTTGTATGTTATGATGATGGTAGGCACCGATGTGTTGGTCGTTGGGCGAGTGCTGAGCGGTTTGGAAAGGGAAAACAAATCACATATGAGATACTCATATTATTCCACTTGCCTCAAATTCGATTCTTCTTCTATCTTACATTTAAAACTTCCATTAATTACATGTAACTGCGGTTTTCTCGAGTATTTCTCTTATATATGGGTTTTACATATGTTTGTTTAGTATTTTACCTGAAACTATTTAGCTATATAACTATTGGATTTCTTATTGACAAGGGTATACATACATTGTATTACTGTGTATGCGGTTAAACGGAAGTGATTGTTGAGGTGAACAAGTGGTATGCTTTTTGTTTTTATTTTAAACGCTGTGGACTTGTAGACAGCATCTTAGCAGGGTATAGAACCAGAAAACATTACAGCAAGAATGTTGAGTTCTATGAATCAGAATTCTAAATAATTTGGAAAACATTCCAGGACGGTTAAAACTTGGTATAAAATGCCATAGACATTACAAACGTATTTGTAGGTAATTCATTCCTATACAGAAGATTACAAGGTTAATCTCGGGAAATCTTTATTGGCAGAATTATTAAATAAAGCAGATAATCACACGAGTTTATATGAACGAAATATATTTTGATATAAAAATCACCATCTTAGGGGATAAACATTGATTTTATAATTAAATAGGAAATGGCTGAACAAAACCACAACAATTTAAATTACATGTAGGCAATAACAAATCATGACTGACATGCCTTATATAATAGGCATTGTACGGAAGCTTCTCTCAAGGGGATTAATTAAACATGTTATTAATCATGAAACCGTTTTTATGCTCAAATTGAGATTATGTGCCAAGTTTCTTGCCCTGTTGATAGAGTAATAAATATTCGCATTCTGTCAATGATTTGATAAATGTTGGAGAAACTTACAGCCGATATCGCTTTCTGTCTAGATTGCACTTGTGCACTGTTTTACGCAAGTTACAAGAAAGTTGGTTTGAGCACAGAAACCTTGCTTGAGCATCGGAACGATCTGAATAAGGGCCCATATCTCACAAAGACATATTTTTATTTTTTGATATACTCCGTTTTGACATAATTTACAAATCCTATTAAGTAAGAAAATGGGTGATGCAAATGTAACATAGCGTTCATTACATGAACATCGAACTTGGACATCGGGTGTTGCTGCTAATGATCATTTACGATAAGGATAATCTTGTTTAGTTGGGGGTCCTCCTGGCGGAACAGAGTTTAACACCAATTTAGAAACCCCGAGTGTTTCCTTGTCCTGCAAAAAAACAATGTCAATGTCTTCAATTCCAATCCTTCAAATTATACATAAAAACAGAAAAGCATTATGAATTACGCCCCATTTTACATAATTTTAACCATTGCAATATTGATGGAAAATCTCAATTTGGGAGAGAAACTCTTAGTAGTATAACAGCAAACCATTATTGACAACAGCTATTCCGTCTTTGCGTATTGCAGAGTTATCTTCTCTTGGGAGCAGGTATTGATTGTTACATCACTAGTTTGTGAGAATAACGTCATCAATTTTTGAGAAAACGACGTAATTTTCTTACACAGGCCAATCACGTAACAATCAATACCTGCTCCCAAGAGAAGATAACTCTGCAATACGCAAAGACGGAATAGATACATACAGCTCCGATTAGAAGTTAATAGCACACTGTTTCGTCAAAATCAATACCACATTTTACATTTTTATTTACAGATATAAGTAAGAGTAACAAGAATATGAACTCGTTCATTACCTATGGGATTACTTCAATACCAGGCATGCCTTCAACCATTCCTAGATGAACATTTCTTACGGTATTTCTTCGTTTTGATCACTGCTTCAATTCGGTTAGGTGTGCTATGATTGAGTAATTTGCAGAACGATTTGTCTAACGAGTACCAATGCGCATGACAAGCGTTCCAAAGGTCCACCTCTGTTGTCGACACGCTTCTTGTCATCATTTTAGTTTAGTTGTTACATATTGCATTTGAATAATTCAAAAGGAATTGGACACAAGTTATAACAACTTAAAAAACGTCCTTTTCCATTAACAATTACATAATGGCATCTAGAATGATATTTTTACATAAAAGAAACATTAATATACCTAGATGGAAAAAAATATTATTCACACACCAGTTCCCACTTCAGTGACTTTTACATGTCGTCATTTTATTTCATGTGCCCCTAACGTTTGTGATTGGGTTCATGACAGAAATAATTCCTCACCATGGTAACATTTCATAGTGTTCTAAAATGTTTATTGAATTAAGATTGGGATCAAAATCTTACTGAAAGTATACAATCGGAAACCATCATATTGTTTCCGAACATGTCCTTTGGTATCGGACTCAGTTTACTTAGAACTTTTGAATAACGATAGCCGTGGTAAAATATCAGTGTTCTAATATGTTCATTGAATAATGATGGGGAGGAAAATCTTACTGAAAGTATATGTTCCTTTTAAGAAAACGCCAAACATTCGGAAACCATCATATTTCTTCCGAACGTGTCCTTTGGTATCGGACTGAGTTTACAATTAATTAAAACCTTTTGAACAACGAAAGCCGTTTTTTATTTATTTTTACAGACAGTTATATCTGTACGGGTTTCGTATTGATGTTTACAGACAGTTATATCCGTACGGGTTTCGTATTGATGTTTACAGACAGTTATATCCGTACCGGTTTCGAATAAATTCCTGAAACTTCTAAATTTATATGTTAATACTGGTTTGCATCTTAGAAATATTTTTACCACCCGATAACTCGACGATGTCAATTAAATAATAACGCTTTTTCGTTTAAAAAAAGGGAGAAAAACCCACCCCAATTCAAATTGTAAGTGTCATTAAAGCTGATATTTATTTTTTTAAGAAATATTATATTAATCAGTTTTATTGACAACTTTAATGATAAAAAACATATTTTTTGAATGAATTATTTTGTGTATATTCAATTTAAGAGATATGTGGCCTTAATTTCTAAACAAATCGGTGTACTATGTAGGTTATGTCTTGGACATTTTAACAAATAATTGATATTATGACTTGTAATTTTCTTCGAACACATCAGAGTTAGTCAAATGTGCAAAAGAACTTAAAACAAGCTTGCGAAATATCGTCCGCCAAAATCTGTTAGAAATATATTAGATTGCTAAATTTCTAGATTGTCAATAAATTGAAATAATCTTTGCAATGATTTCGAAATGTTTTTTTAAAATATTTATTTACGCTCTATTTGCTGTTTATATCAAACACAGTCACGAGCAAAACACAAACTTAAATACTTCAAACTGAATCCCAAAACTTCTTGATAATTTAGATTTGGGCAATAAATACCTATTTATGACATGTTATAAGATATCTCCCATATCGCTGGAGTACAAAACAAAATGCGTTATAATGATATCAGATGATATAAGTGGGTGTATTAGGGTGGAAACTAACGAAAAAAAAATTCCATCTGTAAATACATGATAAGAGATACGATTTGAGTTGGTTTAGTATGTGCTTTACGTCCTATTAACAGCTATGGTCACCAAAGAACGAGCCAGGTTTGTGTGGTGGAGGAAAACAGCAGTACTCGGAGAAAAAAACTACCGACCAAAAAAATAAACATTTAAACAAAAGCAGTCTGAATATTTCCTTGGCAGCTGGTCGTCCGTAAGCAGTTCAAGATTATATTAAATTGTTGAATAAAAAATGCTAGCAATCCCACTAGATTCCCTGCTGCGTATCCACAAGGGGTTGTTAGTAGGCTGCTGGCGCACAGTGTCCGTATCGCTCTAGGTATTGTGTTACAGAACGCTGAGTGAAGTATGCACGGACGTGCACGAGCTCTGATTGAAAGTTGGTCTATTTATAGAACAACATGGCATTGAAGCACTCGTCTGGAATGCTCGTCATTATCGAAGCTAGTATCATAAGTATGTACAAACATCGCTGTTATCGCGAATCCTGCAGTGTGCGCGTGCTTTTATGATGAGGGTGATGATGGTGAAGATGATTAAGATGAGGAAATATATAACATGAGGTCGAATTTTCAAAACAACACTTTTATTTGTTAAGATATAAAAGAGATAGACTAAGGCTAACTATACATGACATGAAATAAAACAAAAATAGCGAGTTTTCTGCAATATAACCGTTTAAGATAGTTTTGTAATGTGCGTTCGTCACGGACGAAATTAAAGACAAGCCAACAGTGACTTGTACAGATCTGTAATGTTCAACAATTACTGCATTCTCATTACCCCATCCGATTACTATAATATATATCGCATTATATGCATTATTACAACTTTGATATCATATATTTTCGGAGAGTCAAAATTTCGTGGTTTCCCGACAAAACACTATTTCATGGGTACATGAATTCGTGGATTACAGGTACCAAATCAAATGGAGAATGGCTTTATATTATATATCAAGCTTGTAATAACTTGGTAGACCTATCAATTTCTTGTATGAAAATTACCCACGAAATCACCTCGCGAAAATTAGTGATTTCACAGTATTGCAGCAAAATTTAAGATTTCCCTTTAATTCCTCGATAGGCGAAATGTCACCAAGCGCATGTTTTTTTTTATATGTTCAAACACATGGTTTGAAAAAATAAATAAAACATTTGACCCTGAAGATATCAAATACAGTGCTGATAATATATTGAAATGATCCTGTGTACTGTGACCCCGGTGGCTCGAAGCTTGGTTAATGCTAACGAGTGGTTAAGGGGAATTAAAAGACATGAATTCAAGAAAATCACATCTTATATACTTTTACTTGACAAAGTAGATTGATGTGTTTTGAAGATTGCATTTACTTTGA